AGAACATATTCACCCTATATGACCTCAATACTGAGGCGGCTGGGCAAACATCCGGTTGCTCGCAACACGCGTCATATCTGTATATCGGTCAGCCATAATCGGGGCCCGCGCAGCGCAGCTCGACTGGCTAATTTATGGCACTATTGGACGGGACCTGGACGGAGACTGGCTGCCTATTTTTGGCCCGCGCGGTCGCCGAGTTGATTGTAACTCCAGGCCCCGGCGAGAAAAATGCGTTGGGATGAAGCCGTAACCTAACCGCCCTGTCTTCAGAAGCTCAGGTATTACCGTCGAATTGGTACGAAGTAAAAGACGCGCTTTTGAAAACACTGTTGCCTATTGTTTCGTGTGGGCCCACATACAGCGTTTTTATAGGATGAAAGAATGGTCCAATGGGTTTTTCGTTCAATGGATCCTTCGGTCAATCGTTCAACGGACCATTCCATAGCCTTGCTGCTATTCCTACAGTCCTTTCGTGGTCGTATATGCTTGAATCGCTATGATTTCACGTTAAAATGTTGCTCACGTGAGTCATAAACTGGCAAAAAAACACGCACTGTTCGTCTGTCCATATATTATGTTAATGAGCCCGCAAGATACACTAGTTCCGTCTATCCTCGCTAGGGAACATAATGTACTAGTATGTGGGTAATATTTATTGTTTAAGTCCGCGAGTCGTGGATATATCCGGGATCACAGTACACATGCATATGTTTGTGTCCCAAACCGTGCCTGTCCCAAACCGTGCCTGGGCGGGCACAGAACGGGACACAGCCAGACTGTCCAGAACCGTGCCAGGAAGTGCTGTCAATCATAGTGATTGGCGGTCGTTTAGGACAAGGCCATCGCGTGTCCCGAACCGAGCTCAGTCCCCAGGCACGGTTTGGGACACGCACCGAGTGTCCCAAACCATGCCCAGGCACGGTTTGGGACAAGGCCATCGCGTGTCAGCTGAATAGGCAATTCAGCACCCAGGACAGTCTGTAGTCATAAAATTCACCGGTAGTGATATCTTGATATTTTTATATATATTTCTATTCAATGAAAGTAATATTTATGTTGTTAGAATTCGCCAGGAACTGTATTTTCCAAGTGAAAGTGATCTTATGTTTACTTGAGTATATTGTATTCAAATCATTGTGGAAAATGTGTACAGTATTTTATTAAAATAAAATATTTAAACTAAACTCTAGATCTCTACATGCCAATAGTAAAAGTCCCTTCATACTAACGCACAGAAGGTATATGTGTATGTAGGGGACCTAGATTTCAATCAAAGGTCATATCATCACTTCAGTCAAAGAAAGAACACATTTGTTGCAAACGATTTTGTTGTGCAAAAAGACTTTTGTAAAAGCACTTGTTTGACTATAAAAAGTGGGACATGTATCATTAATATGTCCTACTTTGAATGAATACAAAGTCCGCCAGGCGTCGCTCTTGGAAATGTGGTACTCAGGGGCTCGGTTTTGGATACGACTACGAAGGAGACCGTTATGTTTATAAAGGAGACTTCTGTACACAAACGAAGTCCGCAAGACTTCGCTGCTCGATAGTAGTCACATGTGAAAGAAGGATACACATCGCCCTTGACGACACGAAGTGTGGAGCAATGGTGGTAGATATGTGACGTGCCAGAAAAAAAGGAGACATGGGACGTGTTCAAGGAACGTGGGACGTGGCGTATTTTAGGTCGCACGTAACTTAAACACAGGGACGGACGTGACGTATATTACGTTGGACTTGACGTGTTTCTGGTAGGTCGGGCGTAACGTATTTTACGTTGGACGTGTTTGTGGTAGGTCGGACGTGACGTATTTTACGTTGGACGTGACGTGAGTGACCGGCAAACTTGAGCTGATTTTCACATATTTTGTAGGGCGCACCCTCAACCCGAACATATATAATTTTTGTAACTTGCTTGTGCACCCTACTATAAATTTTACAGCATCGAACCCCCTCACTTTGGGCTCCTTAACTATAGGAATCCCCATAGGGCGAAAACTGTGTCCTGCTACCTTCAACCACCACGGGAATTGGCACCCGTGTCCCATTCGGTCAAATTTGCTTGGTATATCTGGTACTGACGTTGTTTCAAGTAAAATACACCGGTTTATAGTACTAAAGTATTTCACTGTCAGACTGCCATGGCAACGGTCACCAGGACCGTCCCCTATGTTTTACTATGGGAAGTGCCCGAGAACGCCCCCATCCCCTTTTTTTCTGCCGTAAAAACGGCTTATACTAGGGTACAAATCACTCAAAACGGTAGAAGATACAACAATGATACCATCTAGCAAGAAAAAGTCGGCCGGAATAGTAAATTCGACCATTATAAAGGTCATAAGGGCCTTGTTCGGGACCCCTATGACAGGTGTCGAAGTGCAAAGTTAGGTACCGCCACTGTGGATTAACTTTGGATTTGTGGAATTTCGCTAGGTGTCGCTCGACAAGTCACGTCCTACTAAATCTGAAGTCACTAATCGTTAACTAAACGCTGCGTCGCCAACTTCAGTCTACTCTTCACGTGACGTATCGTCTCCGTACGAGAAAAAATTGACGGTAACAGGCAGCGCTTTTATATAGCCGGGGACCAGCCAGGATCACCCCTGGACCCCGCCGGGACCCAACAGCTGCCCGACCGGACTGTAAGAGCCCGTCGGCACCCGCACGGTTCAAAACGAGAGACTGACCGGGTATCATGCAGACGGGTCCCTGGAAGAATTAATATAGCCGTCAAAGGGACAAAACGTTTGTGAATTTTAAATAGAAGCCGCCTGAGCAGGCAGGAAGCCGTAACGAAACATTTAATTGTGACCCTGACAGCCGGCGCACGCTCGGCTTCATGACGCCGGCCGGCGTCTACACCGAGAACATGCCGCGCAGGCCCCGTTGGAAATGCGACTCCAACTCAACACGAGAGGGATAAGCTCACAAAAGATATTTTCTCAGGACGAGAGACTGACCGGGTCTATTGCATCAGTGCATAGATGATATGTAGATAATGTTTTGATAAAAGACCAGGGCTAAAAACGGTACATCCGTCAATATAGGCTCACGCACGGGTAAAGTAAAGCTAGCCTCCATGCAACAGTAGGACAGTAGAATTCTGTAAAAATAAGGTCCAACTGGCAGGAGAGTGATCATTAATTCACCGCTATAGTTTCATTTCTCCATCGGGCGCGCTAGTAAAAGAACTTTACGGCCAATTATTCTTCATATTTGGCAGGCCCTGCTACTTGGCTAAATTGTACTGTTTTTTGGCCCTCATCATTGTCTAGTAGAGACTAGGAACGTAGGTTCAAAATTTACATATTGCAGAAATACCATTTATATCTTGCTAATAATCATATTGCCGAAATATACAACTTCAGGATCCACCTAACAATTGAGCAGGCTTCAAATCATATAGTCACGTTTCTTTCCGAGATTATTAGTTTGCGCTAATCAACATACCATGAGTGGCGCCGCCCATGATGACCAACAGGAGAACGAGGGAGGAAAGTGTCCCTCCCTGCATTTTTGCTGGCGATGTTCAGTCGACTTTTCTGTGGGAAACAAATTGTACTTGCTTACTAGAGATAGACATATAATCACTTCAGAGAATTAGGCCCATGCATTACACATTCCAATTACTTTTTGTATATAAGGACAGAAATTTTTACACAGTCACAGTAGGTGAATGTAAACTACTCCGTAGTCCCAATAGATAACAACTGTATGATATAATGGGTATGATATTATGATAAAATGTTGAGGATACAGAAATTTGAATATTTTACGTGCAAGATATGGTAGACAGAATAGAGATGCTAAAAACAGTGTTTCAAAAGTGCCAAATCGCCCGTAAAAGCACGCAAATAACAATTCAATTATTCAAGGAAGAGAACTACTCGAAAGTACTGGGGTTGATGCTAATAGTGGACTTACCAGTTATGAAGTTGAAGACACCCTCTGAACAAAGGTCTAGATCTGACTGAAATGGTGACGACGTGTCTAATATATCCGTTTTAAAGTCCCGTATGTCTGCTGCCACGTTGGTCGGCTGACGATCGCGATAGACGTATGATGATACGTAATCAAAATATCATAGTTCAAACACTACGCACTCGTGCCATGCTTTAACTGTGCACTACTGTGAATGAGAGTAGGCAGTCAGCTGTGCAATGCCGTGCGTATGCAGACTGTATGTGTATCCAACTTAAAATCCACTGTAATTGGACCTCCTAATTAGATCAAATATCTATTACAATAGGCGAAATATTTACTAATTTGGTTATAAAGTACGTTGATGTATGCATTTGACACATGGAAAGAATCTGTGGTGGTTTCGGGGGAGGGTAAAACTGTAGAAGTTATGGTTGGGATATTACTTCAACTTAAGCACACTGACGTAGCCGTTTGATACACGAATTCTTCACTGGTCATACAACAAACAGGCAGTTAAAAAGGTTCCCATTTTGCGCTACCGATACAATTTTACCCTAATACATTGTAGTTTGGAATGTTTGTCCAGTATTGATATTGTAAAGTACTCCTTTCGTAACTTGATTTCTTTTAACTTGGTTAAAACTCGTCTGTGACTTTCGTCAGTGCAGAGAGAAAGGCAAATTGGACGCGCAGAAATGTATACATAAAATAATACTTTATTGCACGTAACAAAACCACAAGGATTAAAAGGCGACCAAGCAAATTCTGACACGAATACAACAATATCTAAACTTACGTAAGTAAATCGATTGTCTCCATGTAAACATTTGCCACATAAAATTTCATTTTAAGTCACGTCTTCTACGAAGACTTTAAATTTATCAATACAGTTTCTTGTAGAATTGTCATCATCGAAGTCGTTTTAAAATATATAAAATTGCTCTTCCTGCGTAATAAAGACATTACAGTATTTATATAACGAACTGTCTTCAAAACATCAGCATATACCTTACCAAACAGATACAACTGTCGGAAGCCTACGAGAAAGAACGATCTAAGATGTTGGTATACTAGACTCTAGAGCAGTTTTCCGTGTTCAATTGTTTGCCATGGTGGTAGTGAGCCAGTCCACAAGCCCGGTGACGCGAGCGTACATGGTAGGAAAGAACGGGTGGGCACATGGAACCCCCCTGCTGACGGCGCCGTGGAGTTCCCAGGCACCTGTAGTTGGAGACCTCCTCGACAGGGGGCCACCGCTGTCACCCTGGGGACGAGACGAATATTTCAGACGACATTATAACGTGTAGCCATGTTTGTCTGTTATGTTTGATATCTTAAAGAATTGAATTGAATTGAGCAACTTACCCATCCGACAGGGATGACGGATGATGAAGATAACATCCTTGGGAACGAGAATTAAGAAGTAGGTTTCGAACTTACACCACGCAAGATTTGATACTTTTCCAGCAGCAAAAATGAAATACTGACATGAATTGAGTAAAAGATGGTGATACTTACAGAACAGGAATCAATGCCGCCCTGTACGAAGTAACCGGCACACATGTCGACGCTCACGAGCACTCCGCTGCCATATATCATCTGACAGTTGGGATCCGAGACGACGGGAACAACCATCTGCTGAAGGAACCGTGCAGTGGCGCCACCTAGTGATGTGACAATAAATGCATGTTGCAACGTTGTGAAACCACATCAAACCATTCACACTATGCTGCAAATTTTTAGTTTAAAAGATGTGCGTTCTAAGTAAGCAGTCGCCATTGTGACTCCAAGATGAGATTGTGGAGAGTCTTTCTACATCTATAGAATACTGGGTAAAGCCCCATAGGGATAAGTTTAATAGTATGCAGTTTAGTTGTACGTCAGGCGTAAACAACCTCTTTTTATTCAGCATACAGTAAACAAAATAAGGGTATAGGACAAAGTGACGACGGGCTCAAGTTACCTAACATTTCATTCGTCAGCCATGGGAACAGTATGTAGTAAAAAAAATCATTTCTTACCGTAAGATGTGATGCCCCATCCGGAGACAGATACCATGGTCCCTGGCAGCAGAACGTCCGAGGACGACGGTAGACAGATCGGCATGATGTAATCATTGAACGTCACCGGAGAAGCGAACTTGATCAGCGCTGCAAATAAACGCATAAACTTTGATCACTAATTTCGTCAGATTGGGGAATGAATGACATTCACAACTTGTTTCCAAGGCCGACGTTTTGATCACCGTTTTTCATATCATTAGAGCTATTATGACTGGTTTTCTGTGCGGTAATGTTGCTAATTCTCAGCGTAGCGATTTAGATTTGTGATGGGCAAACGATTTTCTTCGCGTTTTAGACTATACGTATGGCCTACATCCAAAGAAAACTGCAGATCTAAATCACAGTGGTGCTAGTAAAAAGCTAGCACAATAAAAAAATCTGGTAGTTGTGTTTTTGGAGTGCTCACCTATGTCGTAAGGTCCGCCGGCATAGCTGGGATGAAGGAAGGTTTGCGAGGCGAATCTCGACACTTCGTTACCATCAGACGAGTACCGGTCATGTTCTCCTAACGTAACTTCTATGTTACTGATACTGCAAAACAACTCACAACAGTAAACAAACCACAACCAGTAAACAAACCACAACCAGTAAACAAACCACAACCAGTAAACAAACCACAACCAGTAAACAAACCACAACCAGTAAACAAACCACAACCAGTAAACAAACCGCAACCAGTAAACAAACCACAACCAGTAAACAAACCACAACCAGTAAACAACCCACAACCAGTAAACAACCCACAACAGTAAACAACCCACAACAGTAAACAACCCACAACAGTAAACAACCCACAACAGTAAACAACCCACAACAGTAAACAAGTTGTCAAAACTTGATAGAAGTAGAACAAACGATGAATGAACTGACGAAAATGACTAAATGTGCTGTAATGTCAGTACGTCAATGTTGATGTCAGACAGTTTCCTAACTGAAATCGCACTGGACGCCGAGCTTAAATATCGACCGAAATGCTACTACTGTGAACGCAGCGGCTGGTACAAGTCACCCAATATCTGCTTTGTTGTATTTCAACGTTAAAATCTTTCTTGGGTCATACTGAAAAAGTCCACGTTTGGTCGCGAATGCAGTCTATAGCTATAGAAGAACAAACGGTGTACATACGGTGTATGGATGCAGTGAGCAGCCGTCACCACCCACTCAGCGTCCACAAGCGTCCCGCCGCACAGGTAATACCCGCCAGAGCCCGGACTGTCAACCCAGTTTCTTACAAGCACCTGGTAGAGTGAAAAAAATGTTCAACAAAACTGAACGCCTGAAACGCAAAGTGGACAAGCAAAGTTTCCTCCGTAAGAACAATTCATATCCCTATATCTAAGGCTGGTAATTATTCAATTAAATACATTTGCTTTTAGTAACTTTCGTCCGCCATTTTGAAATCTTTGACAAGTGCACGGTCTTCACGTTGATTACATCTAAACCACAGGACTGATTTGAAAAGCATTAAGCATCTTGTCCCATGCATAGTCTTCTAAAAACAGTAGGAAAGTGTTTCTAATCACACATTTTATCAGTATAAGTTCCATAAGCCAAAGGGTTTTAATCATATGCATTGATCAGGAAAAAAAATAGCATCTTACCTGCCATGGCCAGCTTCCTTGTTGAGCAGTGTTTCCCCCGACTATCCTTTCCGGTGCCGGTATTCTGGCAATGGTGGGACTACCACAGGTTCCATCTATGTAAATAAAGATTCAGAAATTAGAAAAAGTTTCACATCTTTATCCCATTTAATTTCATTTGATAAGAACCTCCAACGTAAATTTTTGCCTTACGAGAGTTTGAGATATGCACAGTGAAACTCGGCCTAGTGAGCGAGTGAGTTATACATTTACATATATATAAGATAAAAGTCTTACATGGGTCAACTTCCGTAATGGTTGCAGTGAAGCCGGAGTCGTTGTTCCCGCCATTACTCTTGAAGACTACAGTCATCTGGTTGGTCGTTGTCCTCAAGCCTCTTACGACAAGAGATGTACACAAACCCTCTAGATGTGAGGAAAAAGAATAGGGTTGCGGGTATGATGTGTTATCAAAGTGTAGAAAATAATTACAACAAAGAATATCGTAACGCTGTTTAAATAAGCAAAATAAAAAAAGTGGCGATTTTTATTCTCCAAAGAATGGTATACACTAGTATACACTCTTAGCACGTTGTCAGAACGAACTGCCGCTACTGCGCCATCGCAAAACCCCAATTTTTTAAAAAGTTTTTCGTTGGATTTTTGGTCAACGTTGCATCAGAATTTTGCCGGTTGCAGACGATATCTTTTTATTTCCGAAATAACTTTTGAAAAGTACAAAAGGAGTGTTGAACTTATGTATACGAATACACCTTATAATTATACCTTGCTACGTTTACCTGTTCATTTTCTGTTAAGTTGGTTCTCTGTATGTAACAGTCATGTGACAGTTACCTCTTGTTACTTTTATCCATTATCAATTTTGGTTGAACCTAAATTATTATTATTTATAATCTATGATTTGATTTCTGTACATGATCAGTACTACTTAATTTCCTGTATTTATTATATATTATATTAAGTTATAATTTATGTTACATCTGATTCTCTGTACCTTTTGATTTGTTTTGATTTTGTATTTTGTCGGTGCCTTATAAGCCCATATGGGCTGGGCGGCATTTTGATCGCAATGGCACGATAATAAACAGTCATTCATTCATTCATTCATTCATTCATATACGAGACGTTCTGCCAAAGTGAAATGCACATCATGATCGGTTTTCGCGCAGGTGCAGTATGCGATACTCTTATCCAACATGGCGGATGACATTTGCATAAATGGTCACGTGAGTGCAAAGGCATCGTAACCCACCAATCAGCTCATTGCTTCCCGCTCCCCCGTCGAAGACCGCAACGAAATCTTTGTTGCATCGCATACGGTATGGCTGGAATGTGATGACCACTATCTTCCCAACTGACGCCGTCACGTGCCAGATACACAGTTTGCTGGGCGGATAGTTTGAAGGGTACAGCGGGGAGGTGATGGTCAAATCTCCGGACATGGTGTCCAGAGTCCCGCCGCAATCGTTATCTGTTTTACCGGAAAAAATAAGTAACAAGAAAACGGGAATATATTAAAGAACGTTGAACAAGCACTGGTACTGGTATTTTTGTTTAGAATGGTTCAAGCAAGGAGGTTTGATTTTAACTCCATGGTACAAGCAAGGAGGTTGGTTCAAGGTACATTACCAAAACTATACAGTTACCAAAACCGAAGATAACGATCGATATTCGAAAACGAGCAAAAAGTGCTGATCACCCAAGAGCAAACAAAAATATACGACTATAGAATAGAGAGACTACAGAATATAGATTTCATGTACGTACTACTTTTTTTGCGTCCCTTCATTTTTTTTAGAAAAATGGCGTAACAAAAGCTACCTGAATTGCCCGGCGATGGTGCTGTGTGGTAGGGTTGTATGTCGTACCGGGAGAGTTGCCATTGGGACGCCGAGAGCGGTAAGTGCAACATGAAGGTTGCAGCAACCAAATATTCCGTCAGGCGACACATTTTCCCTGTGTGTTTGGACAAAGACATCTTGTAAATTGTTTGAACAGAGTAGACAATGTTTTCAAGAAGCTGGTAAGTCACAACAAGGACATTCCTTGGTCACAAGTACAGAATCATTATGGGGTCGTTTGGTAATACAAGTAACGTTACATACCTTCTTTTTCCTTGCAGACGATGTTATCAAGAGCCGGTGTTTCAATTAAACCACGGTACGGGAGTTTGGGTGGAGCTTCGGCGGCAAATCTCGGTACGGAGTCGGGTAGGCGCAAAGCTCGGTACACGCTGGAAGGCTGAAATTTGACAAGCACGCCCGAACCCGTGGTTTTTATACTCATATCTAATGAGCCCACCTGTGTGTTCTATTTTTAGCAACAACAGGTGGATGACGTAATTCGTAGGGACGTACCAGAAACAAACATGGGGGAATAAGAAAGTAAACAAGAAACAATTGAGACAGAATCATACTCAACCCAAGGCTGTTGACACTAACAATATATATAAAGTGGCCACAAAACACATCAGACTTTGATTTGTTAATCTAGAAATGAAGTGCATGGACATTTGACACCCTTCCCAAAGATCATTATTGGTTCGCCCCTTAATAGCTGCAGGTGCAGCAACCCCCAATATAATCAACAACTAAGATAATTTCCTGCTTTATGAAAATGAATGTACATACATAAATCACCAGATTCAGTGTTTGCGACGAACAGCCTTGCGATTCAATAAAGTTAATGGTAATATTTGCCGCTAATAAAGTTTTAAAAAAAATAGATCCCGTCGATCTTTGAGCCAACAACGTCTGACGTTCCATGTATAAAACGACGATGGTCATTGGATGGAAGAAAGTGGGCGAAACCTTCAAAGTTACTGAAGGTAACATCACACTGCCGTTTACTGATTCTTTATTGTTTGCAGTGTTATGCAGCAGAGAGGACCTTAATCATATGAATGACGAATCTTGTTTCTTATTGATTGTGTATGCTTGCTTTATATCACTTGCTCGTATTCTCCACCTAATGGCATTCTTATCTAAACAAAGAAGGCTATTGTAGCATTTCCTCAGAATTATGAAAATGAAGCTACATAATAAAAAAAGCACGATTTTTAGTCAAACGTTTTTACTTATCCTCCCTCGTTTTCTCTTTGTTTATTTACGTAATCTCCAATTAGTGACAACACACCACTACTCTCCATGGAGTCCTCTTACGCACATTATTAAATACAAACATTATATTATTAACTACTATTTACATCCACTTCTAATTTTAAAAGAAAACTTGTCTTATCAACATGTCACATATGATAATAATAATACAATAATTGCCATTGTTTCATATCAATAATCACATTGAACAATGTTAGATTGAATTTTCATTTGCTAGGTTTTGACGAGTAAAATACACCTTTAGCACCAATTAAATCAACCAACAAAAATCATGTGCTAGATTTCTGAGAGGTCAGAGATTATGAATTTCTACAAAATTATATTTAAAAAAGTTCACCACCATGAGTTAATTGGTGTGTGTTTATGTTTATGTTATTGTCCAATTCAATTTTTTTTCTTTAAACGTTCTTGGGTTTGAGGGTATTATGTAAGTAGGCAAGGTGTTGTCTGTTTTAATCCACCAGTGTACGAAAGTCCGAGTCATGGCATTAATTGGTTCTAGGTTAGATTGTTCCTTTTTGTGCCAGTCTAGTGTTGTGCGAATGTGTGGAATTAATTGTTTTTAATCTATTAAAATGCATTTAGGCTGTTTCTCTGTTACTACTTTGTATCATGCGTTGATTGTGCCGGTAAACATCTTCGCCTGAGGTCCAGTTTAACTGGGTGTGTAAGATATGTAAGTCTGCATCCCAACGTGCACCTGTTGCCAGACTAGCCGCTCGATTCCTCACGACTTGTACTTTGTCTATTTGAGTTTGTGGTGATCAGGACATAAAGGCGCAGCAATAGTCAGGGTCTATAGCACTGTTTATCACAAAATCTACCTACCATCAAAAAATCATAACATGAGCCAGAGTAGCATGGCCAGGACACTAGAACTTAGAAAACGACAGCAAACCGCTAGGGGAGCCTAAAACCTATTATTTTGATATTTTATAAAGACCTGCACACCTACCTACTAAGTTAAAGTGTCATGACAACCCTTTCATATTTATGTTATCGTACTAAACCACACACATAAATCCTACCAAAAACAACAGACTGGCGAAGATAAAAACTTTATTGCACATAACAGAAAACCACAAGGAATATAATTGTCTACGTAAATCTGACACCTATTGAACAATATCTTAAAAAGTCTTCAAGCAGAACCGATCGACTTAATGTAAACATCTGCTACAAATTCACAAACATACGACTAATCGTAGTCCTTAAAGCCTTATAAAATGTTTATAAAATAGCTCTTCTTGTGTGGTACCGACATGGTAGGGATTCAAACAAGTCTATGGAGTACAATTTATAATTTATCAAGCTGGCATTAAAACATCTTACGAATAGATACCGCCTCTTTTCTCAAGATTTTCCAGGGCAAGATTGAAATGCTTGATATATGTACTCGATGTTAGCAGCATTATTCCTTTTCAGTTCATTGCCATGGTGGCAGTCACCCAGTCAACAAGCGCGGGGACGCGTGCGTAGACGGTAGGCTCGTAAGGGTTGGCACATGGTTGAAAGAGGCTGACGAGACCATGGAGTTCCCAGGCACCTGTAGTTGGAGACCTCCTCGATAGGGGGCTACCGCTGTCACCCTGGGGACGAGATTAATGTTTCAGACGACGTGTAGAACAAATTCTTGGCAACGAGGTTCGAGGAGTTAAAACTAGAGTTACTGACCATTTAATACGTATACCAGTACTTCGATACAAAAATAGCAATACTGACAAATCACTAAACTCATTACACTTACGGTACACGCATCAATGCCACCCAGCACAGTGTAACCAGCACAGAAGTCGACGGCTATTTGTATAGCGGTCCCGTATATCTGCAGACAGTTGTAATCAGAGACGACAGGCACAACCATCTGCTGGAGGTACCGTGCAGTGGCGCCACCTAGTAGTACGACAGGAAATGCATTTCGTGAGAACATATATTGTATATACCGGGGAGACAAGCAGTGCTTTGTTTCCCGAATTTATCAAACCGTACAAAGCAGCTGCTAAATGAGTAAAGTTGCCGTAAGTTGCAAAAGTAATATCTCAAACGATACGCGTCGTAGAATTTCAACGGAGACAAAGAAAATGTGAAGAAATGAAAATGAAGAGCGTATGACTCAAGATACCATACTGTGTAGTCATTCGACCAACCTAGCTTCTTGACAACATAGATTTCATAATACAAATATTTTCTTGCCAATTTTTTTTTTCTATTCGCACGCTTGCACCAGTTTTGGGGTTCCCATAGGATGTTATCCATATAATCAACTCAACATGGCCTACAGTAATTTCCTACCATTAGACGTGGCGCCCCATCCGGAGACGGATACCATGGTCCCTGGCAGCAGAACGTCCGAGGACGACGGTAGACAGATCGGCATGATGTAATCATTGAAAGTCACCGGAGAGGCCATTTTGATGAGTGCTGCGAAACGCAATACAGTTGAACAAATTTCGATTGTTATTGGCAAGCTTTTCGATTAATCAAATTTCTTGAAGCAGGTCTAAACCAGTCGTGCCACCAAAATGTAGTACAGAATAAACCACAAAAAGCCAGGTACGTCACCGTTTTAAAGTAAGCTATCCATTGCAATTACAGTTCAACAAAACTGGATTTTCAAAGTCAAGATTCTTTTCATTCTTCATTCAAGTTCCTGATACTGATATGTGTGGGACAGATGCGGGATGTCGCTGACAAACGGTTGCTCGTACTGTAGCTACTAGTATATGGGGTGTACCACCAAAAAGAAAGACGCCTGATTTCAAACGCTTCAAACATAAAATGGTGCCAAAAATGTGCTAAAGTGATGGCAGTAAATGTCAATATCGACGATTTCGTATGATCCATACACGACCAACCTATATCGTGTGGTCCGCTTACAAAGTTGGGATGAATAAACATTTGGGCGCCGAATCTTGACACCTCTGTACCATCCCATGCGTCACGGTCATGCTCTCCTAGCGTGAGCTCGAGCCAATCAGCACTGCAAACATACAGCAAACAAACATGGTCTTTTACGTGAAAAAGTAAGGTCTATATTCTGTGGGTACGCGAAAAATTAGGGCCCTATAGAATATAGGTCTATGTTCTGTGGGTCTGTGTGTGTTTGGCTACAATTACGGTACAAAGCGATATCGATGCGGTCAGAAGAACTACATGAAGTCACGGGAACTACCAAAAATTAAACAAAATTAAGAAGAAACATGTCGACAGGCCAGTTGTGTTGAAAACCATTAACCGTTTTGACCGCTTCACGCTTCGACGTCCCTATCTTTAGTACAAAGGATTTAAAACCCTACAGTAGAGAAATATTTGACGGATACCTCCCCTAGATCTACACCCAGGGTAAACGTGGGAGATTTCGGGCTCCGGGAATCTAAAGTCAACGGCAACAAATACTTGAAAAGGGATCAAGCGAAGCAACACGTATATTTCCGTATTCCCAGTTTATTTCAGTGTGCGCGTAGCCTGTGAGCCAGTAAGAAATACACCAAACACTACAGTACAACAGTAACCGTGTACATACGTTGTAACGTAAATGCAGGACGCAGTAGTAACCACCCAGTCAGAGTCCAACAGTACCCCGACGCACTCATAGTCGCTGGGTCCGGGGTTCGGAGGGGACAACCAGACTTTTATAAGCACCTGGTCGAGGGAAATACAACAGGAGACGTTGTCGAGGTTTATCAGTAGAATATTATAAAATTAGCAAAACACGTACCTATCCGTGATTAAGACGCACGGTACAGTAGACGTCGAAAATTTTGAGGCACGTGTTGAAGAATATTCTACTATAACTGATAAAAGGAGACGTCGACATTGTCTTAAATGCAACCTACATACTGAGCCATCAAGTTTCCTTCAGAAGTGTTGATATCCTTCGTATATATAGACCAAGGTTTACACAACATTTCTTGTGTGTTAAATACACAACTAGTTGTATACATACATGAAATATTAATCGAGATAGAATTAATCGTGATCATGATATGAATCATAGCCGAAGTTGACCTGTTCTAGTAAACGACCACTAAGAAATCATTTCACAAATATTCCTGACCTGCCATGGCCAGCTTCCGTGTTGAGCAGTGTTTCCCCCGACTATTCTTTCCGGTGCCGGTATTCTGGCAATGGTGGGACTACCACAGGTTCCATCTATATATAAACAAACGTTTTGAAATCAGTGACAAGTGGCGCATTCTTCGAAATCTACTCCTATATTAGCTGAGTTTTTTTTATAACAAGTTCATGGCCGAGGGCTAATTGCACACTGACAAGAATAATGAGTACAGAATGTATTCGAGAATGGCCTAAAACCATGTGCTAATTACACTAACAATTAGCTCTACTTTGGCTGTCTAATTTCTATCTCTACTTCAATTATATAATGACGACGTATGTGTATGTGGCAGGGAGAGGACATGTAATACATAAACAGAAAAAATAGGACATGGAAGAATTTCTTGGGAGACTTTCCCTTGTAAGGAGAGTAAATGTGACTGCGTAGAAGTAGAAGTTAAATTTATAGAGTAGTTAAAAGTTTCTTACATGGGTCAACTTCCGTGATGGTTGCAGTGAAGCCAGAGCCGGTTATCCATTCATTGCTCTTGAAGACTACAGTCATCTGGTTGGTCGTTGTCCGCAAACCTCTTCCGTCTCGATTTTTACAGAACGCCTCTAAATATCAGAGCAGAAAATAACATGTTAAGTCGTTTATGACTTTCACACACAGTACCAAGTAGATAATACGCGCCATGTTGGTGTGTTCTAAACATCCCAGATGGCGACTGGTGGTGCTATTTCAATATGCAGAGAGCTGCAGACGTCAAAGTCGCAGAGGAAATCAACTGCTGTATGTTAAACTACAAACATTATGTTAAACTACAAACATTATCTCAAAGTCAACATCGCGGGTGGTCATTTGCATAATGGTCACGTGAGTGCAAATGCATTGTAACCCACCAATCAGCTCAGTGCTTCCCGCTCCCCCGTCGAAGATCGCTACGAAGTCTCCAAGGCAACGCACACGGAATGCCGGGAAGGTGATGAAGACGATCTTCCCAACTGACGCCGTCACGTGCCAGATGCACACTTTGTTGGGCGGATAGTTTGAAGGGTACAGCGGGGAGGTGATGGTCAAATCTCCGTACATGGTGTCCAGAGTCCCGCCGCAATCGCCATCTGACATACCAAGGGAAAAACGATCAAAAAGTGCTTATGACCCAAGAGCCAAAAATGTATTCTCATTCATACACGTTCTATTTTGCATTCGATTTCTTTCATTTAAAGTAGGCATGTAATAACGTGATAACTACCTGACTGGTCCGGCGATGGTGCTGTGTGGTAAGGGTACAGCTGGTACTGGTAGACTTGGGATGCAGAGAGCGGAACGTGCATCAGGAAAGTTGCAGCAACCAAATATTCCGTCAGGCGACACATTTTCCTGTGTGCATGGACAAAGACATCTTATTAATTGTTTGAACAGAGTAGATCTAGACAATGGTTTCAAGAAGCTGGCAAGTCACAAGTACAGAATCATCATGGGGTCGTTTAGTAATACATGTACAGGTAACGTTACATACCTTCTTTTTCCTTGCAGACGATGTTATCAAAGAGCCGGTGTTACAGATAAATCACGGTACGGAATTTTTTTTCTGGAACTTCGGCGGCAGATCTCGGTAAGGAGTCGGGTAGACACAACAAGCAACGCAGGAAGGCTGAAATTTGACAAGCACGCCCGAACCCGTGGTTTTTATACTGATATCTAATGAGCCCACCTGTGTGTTCTATTTTTAGCAACAACAGGTGTATGACGTAATTCATTGGGACGTACCAGAAACAATCATGGGGTAAGAACGAGTAAACATTCAAACAAGGACATTTTACAAGTCCTTTAAAACTTAGACTTAGAGAATGGCCAGAAAAACGCACGAGTTGTTGGCCTACAAAATACGTGTACGTACCTTCAGAGATTTTTTGATACCCCTCGTTTAGATCATCATTGGATCGCCCCTTAATTAGGTGCTTAATTTGGTTATCTAGGTGTAAAAATGTGAACATACCTGAATCTTGCTTTGAGACCACAAATCACCAGGTTATTTGCAGCGAATAGTTTGGGCCAAGTTTTTTTTTTCTGTCAGCCAAATCATTAGGATATTCATCTCTAAAATTTCCATATATTCTAGAATTTTCAAACAAGGAAATGTCATCAATTATGTGGCCTTTTATGTGTTCTATATGTTTTGTGGGTGTGTTTGGGCCATCGAATATAGCGGTACACGTATCGCATCGATTTCAATTAAATTTAAATTTCGGAAACATTAGGTACTGAGCTTCTTCGAGTACTTAGTCGTTACCCTGGGAAAATTCGTTTTTTCCATGCAGCCATGGTTAAAAATGACGAAAAAAGGACCCCTTACTTAAACATCAGTTGTTAGGCCTTATTCCCACCCCTAAATAAATTTGGCGCACAAAATATCAATCAATTGTATTGATAAGCGTCACACCACCCCTTTCAACAAGAAAAGTGGAAAATTGCGACCTGCGTTTATTACAGAAATGTAGCTACGGCTACGGAAAGAAACTCCGGTCGGATACCGTAAACTTTAAGCCAATGATATGTTGCGTTTTGCATCTCTGTATGCCCTGTATGGAACGGCGATGGTGATTGGATAGCAGGACGTGGGCGGAACACGGGGTCAAAGGTCAGCTGAAACAGCTGATCAGCCTGCAAGCTGGAAAGCACATGCAAAGACCTGGGTATGTTACATAACCTTATGAACCTTTATTGTGTATAAATACTTTGACAAATTTGTGCAATATTTGTAGAATTCAATTATATAGGGTGCAAGGCCACGCATTTTGAATTGTTTGTCTGCCCTGTGCTGTGTTTTGTGATAGCATATTATAGATTACATAACTCCGAAACAGTTGGCACACATGCATGTAACGTTAGTAAAAATAATTGTGTTTGACTAGCCGCGGCGACATGTTGCAGGGCTTCTCTTGCTTGCAGTCTTTTATAAAGGGCTAATGTAAAAGACTGCAAGCAAGAGAAGCCCTGCAACAGTCGCCGCGGCTAGTGTTTGAGTGCGCGTGTGTACGTGTGTATAAATTTTATGTGTGTGTGTGTGTGTGTGTTAGTATGTGTTTTTGTTGCAATTTAGCCTGGGTAAAGGGCTGAAGTCGACCTGCCATCCCTGAATGCCTTGCTTAATGCTAGCATTAGGCAATTATTGTGCAAATTTATTTATTTATTTTGTGTACTTTGCCAATACTATGATCAATCGTGTTGTACCTGTCTCCTTCAACATTCCTAGGATTCAACCACTATCATGCCAAAGGAGAGGGTGCTGGTGACAGGGGGAGGGGGTTACCTGGGGTTGAGGCTGGCCGGCATGCTGTGGAGAGACGGGGCTGACGTCACGCTGTTCGACCTACGAGAACCAATCGAGAAAGCAGCAGCTGACATGAAGTTCATCAAAGTATGGGAGATTCTTTTATTGCTACTGGTATATTACTTCAAGGATATTAAATACATTGTACTTGATTATTTGGTGTGGTATCGAGTAGACAAGGGGTAATAATAAATATGCTAGAGGACACAAGACCGAGGGGTTATAGGTTTGATTCCTGGTAATACTTTGTGTCCTGAAAAGGCTTTTCTCTCTCCACCCAGGTATAAAATGGGTACCTGGCTTGAAATTCCATCAATGATAATTGGAAAAGCACATTCTCCCATACTAGATAGTCTTTCATTCGTTAAGTACATAAATCTCATAGTATATTTGTTGTATGTTATATACCATACATTGTAACTTGTAGCTGCCATACATTGCACCTTGTACAACTTTATGTATCTACCCTACTACATAAAAAGAAGTCTGATGAACCTTTTTAACATGGTTTTAACAGGGGGATGTCACAAACTACAAGGATGTAGAAGATGCCTGTGGTGGTGTAGACTGTGTGTACCACATCGCTTCATACGGAATGTCTGGCAGGGAACAGGTAAGAACCAGATCCATTTCCACCCGTGACCCCCCTTTTGCTGACAATTCTAACTGCTTTTTTCTGTAACCAATGGGAAAAACTCAAAAGTCCTGTAATTAAAGAACAAAACTTATCTCAAAATTGTAAGTTAAAGAAGAAGAAAAGTAATTTATGGGTTTATGGTATTGATGAGTTGAAATGAATTATATTTCAAAGGTGTGATATTATTTTCCTTTCTGCAGCTCAACAGAAAGCTGATCGAAGCTGTTAATGTTGGAGGAACAAAAAATATAATTAGAGGTAAGATGATTTAACTAGTAACTTGTAGTTGAAGTGCATAATCATGAGGTTTCTTGTGTAAAGTAACAGGTATAATAGTATTTAAGACTGTAGATATTAAAGTTGAATGAGGGCTCAGTGTGTTTTAATGTTTAAAGCAAAGAATAAATCTCTTGTCCTTTTATCACACAAATCCTAAGCCCACACCTATGCATTGTGAAAGATTTGATTTATTTTTTAATTATTGTAATTGTGTAAAAGGTACTCACTGTACTATATATAAGTATATATCATGCTTTGCTCTCTCTCTCTCTCTC